TCCTTCTCTGTGAGGGTGCATTGTCTAGAGAGGGCTGGGAAATCCACGCATAGGGCAAGAAGACTAAGAGAGGTCAGAGGATTGAGCCAGAACCTTGGTGGATGGGATTTGGAAACTTGTTGCCCTGTGAGATCTACTCCTTAGATCATGGGGTGGGCATTCCTCATTATTTGCAGCTGATGCAGGAAACCATTGATCTCATCTCATAGATCAGATAACACAGGCTCAGAGATAACTTGTTCTGGTCATCAAGCTGCTATCCATGGAAGTAGAGGCTAGGAGTCAAAGTCAGGGGAGGTCTGAAATCTGGAAAACAAGGAACCAACCAAACCAGTCAGTCAGGGCTGGATTTAGCTCAGCGGCAAAGCACCTGCCTGGCAAGCGCAAGGTCGTGAGCTTGGTTCCTGGTACCAGAGAAAAACCAAAAAAAAAAAAAAAAAACCCCCCCCCCAAAAAAAACCAAACCAGTCAGTCAACCACTCCACCCACCCAGAAGTGGGTTTTTCTTCTTGCTCTCTATGCCATGCCCTTTGACTGGATACATGGGCATCACTTCCCCATACCCAACACAATTAGTTCTCCAGATTCTCCAGCAGACTAAGCCTGGGGGGTGGGGAGGGTCCTCAGAGTCAACTCTGACACTGTCTGCTTGGAGATGCCATCGGATCCCAGGTCACAGGCTCTGTCCCATGAGACTGTTCCCACCTCAGGTGCCAGTCCCAAGCTCCAAGCTGTGACCTGTACTTCAGGCAATGGGATTCCCACAGTGTCCTCCCTGGACATGGTTATTTTGCTAGAATGGCTCACAGAACTCAGAAACTTCTGCTCACCTGTTATTGTAAAGAATATTCCCAAGGCTGCAGAGGGACAGCCGGGGTGGACACAACACACTTCAGGGCCTCTGTGTATTTTGCTGTCTGGAAACTCAGAACCAAGTCCTTTTGGGGTTTTATGGAGGCTTCAGCACACAGTGTGACTGGTTAGGTCATTGGCCATTGGTGACTAGTTTAACGTGCAGTGCTCTTTCCTTTCTGGAGGTAGGGTGGGGTGGGGCCCAAAGACTGAACCTTCTAAATACTACCCCGTAGTCTCTGGTGATCAGCCCCATCCAGAGGTGATAGAGTGGCCCTCAGCCGAGTATCACTGTGTTAGTATGTAAAAGAGACTCCTCACGCTGGTATGCTAAGTAGCTTTGTGACAGGAAGTGGGGATGGAGACCTAATGCTTACGTCAAGGCATGGTAGCCGGTTTGCCTTGAGCTGGAGAAACTGCTCACCTTGGGTTACAGGGTTACAGTGCAACCTTCTCAGGTTTGGTCTAGGATTTTTAGGAGATGAGAAGGAGACACAAAGAGGAGTTGGATGTCTAGAAGGCACCTCAAACTGCACTGGTTGAAAACAGCCTGGGATTCTCTCCTTTGTAGAAGATGAGAGCTCTTAATCACTGAGCATTCCCTGAAGACCTGGACTGTTGGAGAAGCGATACAGGCATCCCCAGTGGCGGTATTGAGGGGAAAATTGTGTCCATGGCCAAAACGAGGCTTTTGTGTCATCCTCCCCAGCTCAGACCCTGCAGCTGCCCCAAGGGGTCAGGGGCTGCCTGGAGCAGGAACCAGGAGGCCAGGCCTCTAGAACTGCTTGGGCCAGGTCAACTTAGCCTGGAACTGTGTGGGTGGCAGAGAAGCTGGAGCCGCGGGGCAGAAGCTGGGGACCATTCAGGGACAGCCTATGAGAATGGGGGAAACCATGGATACTTTGCCTCTGGAACTTCAAGGAATGAAATTTTATCACTAAAGTGCCTAGTGAAACGAATATTGTTATTGCAGCTGGAAGGGACTAAGACAGGAAGCAGTGATTTCCAGAGCAATAGAGAGCATGACACCCAGCTCAGTTTGCATTACCTGTCACTGTCTTCTCCTGACCTGCAGACTCATGCTGCTTTTCTATGGCTTTCCCTTGTGTCTTGCAAAAATGCCACAGTGCTGGTGGTGGATTTGGAGGGCAATGCTTACGGAAGGCTGTCAGCTGTTCCCTCTGCCCTCGGCTCATGCAGGGACAACGTGGCCACTCCAGCCATCCCTAGGACCAAGGTCCAGCAAACGCCTCTTCTCCTGCCCTTTGCAGGGTGCTGGGACTTCCTGGAAGCCTTGGGTATTGGCCCCTTTGCTGTCCCGTGCCATTTGTGAATCAGCCTGAGCTTTTCCACACATTGCCTCAAGCCATATCATCCCAGGTCCATGTGGGCCATTGCCCAGGGTAAAGGCTGGCCTTAAACTCACTATGTAGCCCAGGCTGGGCTTGAACTCCAGTGATCCTCCTGCCTCAGCCTCCTGAATGCTGGGATGACAAGCATGCATCACCATGCCCGGCTTTAACTTTCTTGTTATTACTATTACTTTGGAACAACTGTGGAACTACATCTAGTAGACACCAGGGGTAGACAGTGCACTTGAACCTCCTTGAAGTCTACCCTGAGGGGCTGTGGCCTCATTTGTAGAATGCCTGCCCTAGTGTTGGAGGGGAACCCTGCTGTTGGGTGGGGTGGTTAGCGAATCCGTTCGCAGTGTCTCCTGCATGGTAATTGTCTACAACCATGCCATTTAGAATGTCTACCCAGGGCATTTAAAGAGCACCTTGTAATCACTCGCCAGCCAATTACTGCAGAATCACAGGGCCAGAAGGGAAGGCAGATGCCATTAAGCCAGCCCTCCGTCCCCAGTCCGAGCCATGGGCTAGGACCCCAGGCTCCACATGGTGCTCAGATCCACACCCAACCTCGGCTAGAAGAGGAGGTTTTCTTTTTAAAATTCTGACCTCGAATCTGACCACTTCCCGGAGAAAGATCCAGCCTTATACTTAGCTGCTCAGAGCTGTGAATTAGCCAAAGCCCTCATTTCATTTCCTATCATTGCAGATGGATGTTGCCTCCTTGGTTTCTCGCAGGGTTTCCAGCTCTGGCGCCGAGGGCCTTTGCAGGGCCCGACGCTCTTCCGAGGCCCCATGGGCAACAGGCCGGGGGCCAACTGTGCCCGGAGCCAGCCAAGCTTCCAGCAGCTGGGGTCCCCAAGCAGAAGGGGGGCAGAGAGCATTTTTTCCCTCTAAGTCCCATGACACAGGGGCAAACTTCTCGTGCAGACTCCAGGATGCAAAGCCATTTGCTTGTTCGCTTTAACCTCAGAGCGACATCTCCCTGGCGAGGTCCTTCGTTCTTGGGGTTCATCTGAGCTGTTTCCATAGCGACAGCCACTTGTTGCATGTGGAGTCTCCCATCGAGGCCTTTGCAGTTTGCCAGCTAAGCCAGCGATCACCAGGCATGTGTGCCAGGCTAATAAGACAAAGTCTGTTTTATTTCGTTCTTCCCTTTTTGGTCCGCTTGCAGTTGGGGGCTGCCTTACAAAAGAGAGGGCCTTTCCGCTTTCACAGCCCGGAGACCTCTGCTCATTATCCCAGGCAAGATTTCGGACAGGGCCAGGGTGCACTGCTACACTGTCCCCAGGTGGCTGCTTGCCCGATTAAGCATAGCAACAGCTGGCAGTGTGTGTGGCTGAGCGGGCCAGGTGGCTGCTCTGGGTGTTCCGGTATGTGTTGGAGCTGATGCCCCTCTTTATTTTATTTTATTTTATTTTTTGGAGATAAGGTCTTAAACTCACTAGGTAGCCTAGCCTCGCCCTAACCTCATGGGGGTCATCCTGCCTCACCCTTCTGAGTGCTGAGATTATAGGCATGAACCACCATGCCTGACTATTTTAAAAGTAGGGTAATCAAGATGATAAAAACAACCCACTTCCAGGCTCTACATCTTTTAAGAAAGACTGGAATCAAAACTCTAAATTTTTAGAGTCTATAGCGGTTGGATGTGCCAATTTAAGAGGTTTAGAAACTTAACTCAGTCAGCTCAGCAATTCTACACCCTAGGGTGAACTTGCTGCAATTCTCCTGCCTCAGCCTCCAGAGTGTTGGGATTGTGGGTGAGGGCTACCACACCTGGCTTTGTACCAGCACTTCTGCACACATCCATGAGGATTTCTTGTGTGTGTGTGTGTGTGTGTGTGTGTGTGTGTGTGTGTGACTAGAGCTTGAACTCAGGGCCCTGTGCATGCAGGGCAAGCTCTCTATCACTGAGCTACATCCCCAAACCTTTTTATTTTGAGAGAGTCTTGTTAAGTGGCTCAGTGTTGCTTGGGCTTTTGATTCTCAAGAAGCTTCTCTTTCGAGTCGCAAGAAACTGTGATCACAGGTGTGTGCCCCTGTTCCGTGAGGCCGCAGCATGGGGGAGCTTGTGTCACCCTATGCTGTGCAAGCGAGGGTGCCAGATTTTGTTGCTTGGTGCTATTGAACTTTTGGGAGACTCTGAGGCAGAGTCCTGTGGTCTGAGATGCTTGCTGTTCTGTGTGTCTGGGACAGTCTCGGCACACCTTGCAGGGAAGTTTCCTGCTTTTAGGAGATGCCAGGGAGAAAAGGGTACAGAAGAGAAGGCCTAAGCTTCAGGAGGATACTGGAAGGCCCTGTCTGTCTGGCTGCAATACAGGTTTTAACGGAGTCCTTGAAAAGAGAAAGCAGAAGAACATAGCGATCCAGAGCCTGAGGCTTCTTGGCTGCCGATATACAAAATCCTGCAACCAGCAAACACACAAAAATCAAGGGCGGTTTGTCAAGCAGCGTCACACGCAGATCTATTGGAAAGGCAGGCGAGAGAGAAAGAGGACAATTAGCTAAATTCAAGGTAAATGCTGTGATTGCAAACAAGAAAATGAAACCCATAATGATGGGGCCGAGGAGCCAAGGCCGGCGTCTGCGGGCAGCAGCCCTGTGGGCAGGAACTGGGCGCTGGGTTCTGTCCAGGCCCTCAGAGGTTCGGGAGGCGGTCCTTGGGGTACTCTGCTCCAAGGACGGAGGCTGTGGGTTCTGCCCTGGGTTCTGCGATGCGCTGTTTGGATCTGGAGCTTCCTGTGGCTTCGGATGCCTGTCCCCTCAGAACCCCACCCAACTGGGTCAGGCGAAACGGAGGCCTACTGGTTTGTTTCCCAGGGAAACCCAGCAGGCAGGGCTGGGCTGGCTAGGACAGGGGCTGCGGGACAGTGGAAAGGACTTCTTACCCTCAGGGCAACACGCTTCCTTGGCCAAGCCATAGAGCAGAGAGAGAGACACAAACCTAGAGTCCTTCCTCTCTTTCTTCTCCACTCCACCCTCAGGTGTCCAGGCCAAGGACAGGACCAGCACTGATTGGTTTAGGCTTTGATTACTGCCCACCTCTGAAGCCATTGGTGAATGACTGGAATGCTGATGAGTGGTTCTGGCCAATTGACGCCTCTTTCTTGGAGCTATAGGTGAGGGTCTGTCTTACTCCAAACACAGGACTTTGGCATGGGGAGATTGGAGTTCTCCAAAGGAGATCTGGGCGTGCTCAGCAGGAGGGAGGTGCATGGGATAAGAGTTTGGAGTGGATGGAAGTTCAGTCATGAACACATCATTCCTGGTCTAGTTCCTTGGGGAATGGGAGGAGTTGGGTGGCATTTTGAGCCCTAGGAAGTCAGATTGGGAATGAATTAGAAACCCATTGGATCAGATCCATCCCTGAGCCCTCTCTTCTCTTTTCATCCAGTGCTTTTTTCCTCACCTCTCCCAAAGAGGGACCAGTGCAGCTTGGTGATTAAGACTGTTCCACCCTGGGCTTCTCCACCCGCCAGCTGTAAGACTTGAGGTGCGTTACACAGTGTACGTACATATATTTTGGTGGTACTGGGGATTGAACCCAGGACCTTCCCCTTGAGTTATATCCCCAACCCTTTTTATTTTTTATTTTGAGACAAGGTCTTGCTAAATTTCCCAAACAGGGCTTGAACTTGTGATCCTCCTGCCTCAGCCTCCCAGAGTTCTGGGGTTCCAGGTGTGTGCCACCACTCAGGGCTGTTACTTGATATCCTTGGCCTTCAATTTCCTCTTCTGTAAATGGGTGGAATAATAGTACCTGTCTCGAAGTTTGTTGCAAAAATTGACTAGAAGACTTAAAGTGGTGGCTGACCCAATGACTATGAGCTGCTGTTATTCTGTTAAGTAAGTCAAACCTATTTTCTGGTCATCTCCCACATCAGCTGATGGCGGCCATGGGACTGAGCTGTCTTCGTCTGCTGGGGTCTGGTGCAGTGCCTGCCCAAGGGAGCCTCACTACGTCTGTGCCCAGTTATTGGGTCAAGTGAGTGAGAACCGATGGCCTCGTTCCCGGGGTGGCTGCACTTTCACACTGGCCCGGCAGTGGTGTGACAGGGTGCAAGGCTGGCATGTCGGTTTCTCTGGTCCTAGGGCCCATCATGGCGGTTAAACGGAAATCCTGAGCTAACGGCCGCCATTTTGTCCAATACAGCTACAGCCATTTTGTTCTCTGCCACTGAACTTGGCTAAGCCGCAGGATTCATTATCAAACTGAAATTTCTGTCAGTGTTCTAAAAGCAACTTTGCTCCATGCAGCTGTGCTCGCCACAAGTTACCCAGCGTACCACGGCCTTCAGTGATGCTTATTTTAGCTTCTGTAACTCCCCGCTTGATGCAGAGACAGACATTTAATAATCAGGGCCCAGACTTAGAGACTGGGTCTGTGTGGGTTAAATAAAGTTTCCTTTCTTCTCCTGAGCTCCTGGCTGCCGTTGACTCTGTTATCCCGTAACAGAGTCAGATTGGCACCTGGCCCCCTCCCCTTACACTTCTCATTTTCCGAGTCTCCCTCTGACCCTGCGTGGCCTGCTCCTCACTGTCCTCTGCCATGTAGTGCCATGTCGCCTGCAGCTTTGACCACTTTCACCCCTCACCCAGCGTGTCCTCCAACTTCCTCTTGCTGTCCAAATCTCACTGTCCTGCAAGACCCCTACCAGGCACGGTGACCTTCATGAGCCTTCGTAGCCCAGTATGGCTCCTTCACTTTCTGAATTTCTTTGGTACCTCACTTGCTGCCTCCCTCCTTGTCCCTCCCTCATTTCACCCTCAGGCACGCTCTGTCCAAGCTTCCTCTCAAAGCCAACCTTTTCCCTCAAGCCCACCTTTTCCCTCAAGCCCATGTCTGCTGTTACTTCCTTTATTCCCCAGTAACACAATCTGGAAGATCAGAGGCGGAAAACCAAGAAGCCAAGTGAAAGCCATAATGAAATACTCCTTCATATCTGCCAGCATGGCTATCACGAAAAGAAAGATAATAACAAGTGCTGGTGAAGGTGTAGGGAAATAGAAGCCTTCACTCACTATTGATGGCAGGTGCTTTGCAAAGTAGTCTCGTATTCCCAAAAGGTTAAATAGAGGCTTGTCTTTCCACAGCAATTCCATACTTAGGTATATACTCAAGGGAAATGAACACTTAGGTCCACATAAAAATCTGTGCCTGAATGTTCAGAGCAACATTAGGCATAAGGACCAAAAAGAGGAAAGTACCCAACAGCTCTGTTTTTAGGGTTGAGCAATTTTTGTAGTGCCTGAAATCCCACCATGGCCAATTTTAAGCCACCAGGTTGGGAGAAGTGTGGCAGTACAGTGTTATGCAGGGCTAGCATTTCTACTTATAACTAGGATAGGTGTAAATGATCCCAGCTGTGGAGGTAGCAGTAAAATGTGGAAAAAGAACCTGGAAGTAATAGGCTTGAGTATTTTCTTTCTGTTTTTAATATAGTTTATTTACTAGTAAACTTTAAAAATCTTTGTGGTACTGGGGATTTTTTTTTTGGTACCGGGAATCAAACTCAGGACTTTGAGCTTGCCAGGCAGGTGCTGTGCCACTGCGCTATCTCCCCAGCCCAAGGTACTGGGGATTGAATCCAGGGCCTTTACACTGCACTACATTCCCAGCCCTTTAAAATTTCTTTTTCTTTCTTTCTTTTTTTTCCCTTTCTTTCTTTCTTTCTTTCTTTCTTTCTTTCTTTCTTTCTTTCTTTCTTTC